TGTTAAATTCCTTGCTTAAAATTATACAAAATGTTGCATTTAGTAGAATGCTAAGGGCTTTTTAAAAAGCTAGATCCAGTAGGAATATTTATAGAGTTAATTATTCTTTTACTGATGTATACTTGTAAAATATACTTCAAACAAGCTTCTCTAACGATGTTCAACTACAATTGTGTTGAAATATTTGTTTATATTACAATGCAGTTATTCTCCTACGGAGATAATAAGATTTATAGAGAAAATTATGAGAGAAAACTATTACCTATGTACGAGCAAGCCACGTAATAATGAAAAATTAAAAAAACTTTGAATCTCGAGTTTTTGATTTTTCTGTACATACAAATACCATAATGCATTGCTTTATAGAGAAAGATCAATTGATAGTAGACACTTCAATATCTGAGCAAGTAATATCGATAATCGATAAAAAACGACTAAAGAAAAAAGATCTGAGGTTTTATGCCGGCAAAAACGTTTGAGGTGAAAACGAAAGGCAAAAACGTTCTTCCATCGTTCAACCAATGACTTAAAATACAATAACTTTTTATTTGTTTATTTCATAAAGTAGAACCACAGCTTAACAATATTAACAAAAATATTTTTTTGAGATTTTTATTTTTAGAGATAATTTGTTTCAAAAATTAAGGTCATTTTATAGGCCAATTATTTTTGAAAGTATTTTTGATTTAATAACAAAATCAATTAAAGCATTATATTACCCTAATAGTGTGCATAATTTTGAATAGTTAGCGTTGATCACACAAAAAATATGCCTCTAATCAATGTTACCATTTAATAAAATATTTTTAAAAAAGTATTTTCACAGATATATTTTGTCAATAGTAGGTTGTTTTCTAGTCATTAAATTTCCAATTACTATAGTTTTTATTAGTATTATATTCTTAGTTTTTTAATGACGGTCTTGTTTATTACTACTTTTGTAAAAGAACGGAAGTGATGGAAACGTTGATGGCAGATTTCCACGGAATAAATTTCGCGCGAAGCGAATTTTTTCGTCGATAAGCATGCGCAGATAAAACATTTCTGTTAAAATTAACAGAAATGTTTTATCTGCGCATGCTTATTGACGAAAGAATTCGCTTCGAGCGAATAAATTTGTTCCGTGGAAATCCGCCTTTATATTAAAATAATGGCGCAAAGCGAATTTTTAAGCCGATAAGCGTGCGCAGATAAAATATTTTTGACAATATGCTGATACAGCATTTCGCTGCAACGAAAAGTCAAGTTTTGAATATTATATCACGTGATTTTAAAAGTAAAAAGGCAAAAGAACGTTGTTTTTAAAGTGGCAAAAAAACAAAGTTCTTAACCTGGCGTTCTTATTGATTTTCTATGAACTCACTCTGACACTTGATTTTCTATGAACTCACATTGGCAAGCATTACTAAATTCATCAAATAAGGAGCACGACTTAGATCGAGAATTTACAAATGAGAATTTGCAGATTGTCAATTCCGAAAGTTACACTACTTAAGAAGATTTATCTTTTTTTTTTTTTTTTAACTTTGTTAAGGTGCCCCAAGAAATCCTAACAGTTTTATCACAGAGTACCGCGGATGAGCATATATTTGGAAGTTCACGCCTCCTTCCTAACCGATGTCGTAAAACTTGCCCAGAGATGGGGTTAAAGTGGCCACACGAAAATAAACCTTTTTGTGAAAAACTCTGCCTGGAGTTAAACTTGCAGTTCGTTCTTGCAGTAACAGTTTTTCAACAGAAATGTTCATATCAGAGTTGAGCATTTATTTTCTTATACTTTTTTATAATAAAAAAACCTTATATTAAATTATTATATTACAAAACGATATCACATCTTAGGAACAAATACAGAAATGCGAAAAATAATGCATGGAAAGAATTTTCTACGTGCTTCAATGTAGAAAGTATGCTAAAAAATTAATAATGGCTTTTTAGTTTTAGTAAATGCTGCCATTTTTATTGATAACAATGAAAAAAAGTAGCGCAAAAGGAAATCAAAACGGCATTCCGTCATTGCGTTTCGCGGGAATATTTCGTCTTGTGGAAAACGGCCTTTAAAAACGAAATAAGGGCCTTTAAAAGTCATACAAAAAAAAAATCTTAAATTTTTAACTGCTAATGTTTAGCTCTAACTTTTGGCGTTTGCTTTATTTTCTTTTTAGATTGATGGTATCAAGAAAATTGACAAGATGAATGTGAAAAAATAGTTAAGGATTTTTTTTCCAATAATCTTAAAATCAGCAAAGGTATCATCATCAAAAGTGCAAACCCCTCAAGTCGATTAAAAAAAGGTCAGAAACGATTGTCATCAAACTTTGAAATTTCAACGATAAAAAGTTAATCCTACAAAAGTTAAAAAAAACTTCGCGGAACAGGTGTGATTATTAACGAAGACTTTGAGAAAAAAAGGAAACAATAGAATAGTGTAAAAAAACTGGTTGAGAATGAAATGAGAAAAGAAATGAGAAATGAGTATGAAATTGAGAAAAGAAAGTAAATACTAGGGGGGCCCAAAATCAACTTTTTTGGATTTTGTGTAGTTTAACTAATTTTTCTTAATTAATTTTTTCTGCTGATTTCAAATCACCTAATCTCTCTCTTTTTTTTTTTTTTTTAATTATAAATATTCAGCATTTTACTTCAATTTCAATAAAAAATTTCAATTTCAATTTCAATTTTCATGTTTTTGATTATTTTGACAAAGCAATTGTTAAATTAAATAAAATCATTACCATTATCAAAGTAGATTCCATCGTAATTTTTTTTCTTTTTATTTTATCAATAAATGTATAGTTAAAAGTAGAACAAAAATTAGGCATTATGCATGAAATTAGTCCATATAAGGAACAATTTGTAACAATTATTAGTAAAATACGAAATAACTTCATAACAGCCGTAGTGCAGTGATTGGAGTTCTTTCTCAGAATCAAAAGGTCTGAGCTTCAGTGTTGGCTCTGGCTAGATAAGCGACATTGGTAAGGAAGGTGTGAACTTCCTCGTTAAATTCCTTTTCCACGGTGCATTGTGGTGAGACCCTTAGTTCTTCCTGAAGCACCTTGACAACTAAAATAAAAGTCACCGCAGGTGATTGTGGGTTGTTGTGACTTTACAAGAAGAAACTTTAAATTTTTTTAGCTTATTTTTTGTAGACATTAGACTGCATTTTTTTGTATTTTTATTAACAATTATGATTTTAAATAAAGTAGATCTCCGCTGCAATGATCTACTGTATTACTAAAATATACATCCCATTCATCAATTGCCTATGTGATTTAACAGATTTTTCTCTATTTCAATATATTTATTGACATCTGATTAGCAAATAAATGGGCTGCCTTGTAATTTTAAAAGCTAATATATAATTTTTCTTAGACGCCTAATGTAAAGCTTTAAGTTTTTTTTTTTTGCTAACCCGCTCTGTCTCATTTCTTTTTGTCACTGGTTCCGACTGTATTTTATATTTTCAAATTTTTTAACAGCGACACATTTTTCGAAATATTTCTAAGTTACCTGAATCTTGATTTTATGATGGTTTGGATATTTAAGTATTACCACAAGACATATTTGTAATCGACGGTATTTCCGAAGCCGATTGAAACGAGTGCGAGTAAAAAAGTTCAATCTTATTTGTTATTGTTTTATAAATTACAAAATCATTATTAAAAACGTAATACATCAGTTATTCCATTATTGTATCTTTTTCCAAACCCATTATACTTTCTTATTTTCTGTTGAAGAAATACACTGTATTTTGCAAACCTATATTTGCAAGTATGATACAACCATCCAAGTTTTTGGTACGTATTTATGAATTGCTTCTATGACTACTTAGCAGTCAATCTTATTTCATAGGAATTGAACCCTTTTTACTCCAACAATGCCATTTTCGAAGCTTTCCAGTACATGAAAGGGAAAATAATTTTTCTTTAGTTTTATGAACATTCTCTATATTTATGCAACATAGCCCACTCACACCTATAGGACATTCACAATAGAATTTCTGTGAACAAAATTAATTTTATTTAAAAATGTTATTTTTAAATAAAATTAATTTTGTTTAGGAGGACAAATTTGTTCTCCGCAAGATTTTTTCATAAGTCCTCTTACAAACAACGTATCAGGTGAACTAAAATCCGTTATAACTTTAACACTCCAAGTTTTTCTGCTCGTCAAAATAGAATATCCTTTTTGTTGTTGTCCTGAACTGCCTTTTCTTTTATTTAAAGCATACTTTTAAAATATAGCTAGAGTGGTACATCGAATCGTCACTAGTCCAAGGGGCATTTGAAAGTGTGATGCTTGTAGGATTCAAGAAAGTTACGAATACAAAACGCTTTTCTGCTTTTGTTTTTAGTTTTTGAGTTAGGTAAGGATACAGTTTAAATTTATTTATTTTAATGCGTAACTCATGTAGAGCGCCTCTTGTAGATAAGCCATGGTTAGTTTATATTTTATTAGATATTTTATACAATCGTTTTTTTTATTCAAAGTATCATTCATTGTTTTTTTATTAAAAAAATATAGTTAGTTTATATAATATTTTGTTGTAACGGTTTGACTCATTTATCCTCTATAAAGATGGCACCGAAATCTCTTGCGCCAAAACAACCCTGTATGAAAATCCCTAATTCATCTATTAACTTTATTGTTGCTACTATTATAGCAAATAATTTGAAAAACAAATATCTCGTTATTGCATCATTAAACAGAGATAAAAAAAAATGCTTTTTTTAAATCATAATTAATAGAGATTCCGTATTCAAATATCGGTGACAATCCCTGCTTAAATATATTAATGCGAATCTCTATATTTCAAATAATATCTTTTCCTTCATGATATTCGAAATCAGACACTATGTTTACGTCATCGTGACGGTAAACAAATTTCTATTAAAACATCTTCTGCATTACTCTAACAAAATCTATTATCAATATGAAATAAATTGGACTATATATACTAATTATATTAATACTAAATAACATAATTTAAAATACAAAAATTTTACTTTTTAAATAATTATGGAAAACAAACATTTCCGGAAGAAAAATATAGCTTACACACTAAAGTATATAACAACAGTAAAATAACGATCCCAACGATAATAACGAGTTCCCAACTGCAGGAAAATAGAACGATCCCAACGATAATAACGAGTTCCCAACTGCAGGAAAACTATTGTTTTATTGAAGATTTTCTTTGATGTTCTTCAAGAGCAACTTTTTTTTCTTCAAGTTCTTTCTTTATTTTGTTCAGCTTATCTAGTCTCTCAGTCTTTGTAACTGTGACAAGTGTGAACTGAGATCTTGCTGCACTTAATTTACTATTTGATACTCGTAGAATTTCAGTAAGATGAGTCCGTTCACTGCAATTGGGAGCTAAATTACGCACAGCTTCGTTTTCATTTATAACCTGACCTTCCAATGCCTTTATTAGATGTGCAAGATCAACAGCTTCACGCGAAAGATGAGCAAACTCATAATCAATTTCGTCAAGCTTTTCCTGTAACTCGTCAATTTGGCTAGTCAAATATGTTTCAATAAAGTCTTCATCAGCACCATCTGGTTGACCTCTATTTTGAGAAGAAACCGAATTTAACAAAGCAACAGGCGTTCGTGCAGTTGCCATAATTCGCGTGTTTTTGAGCAATACATTTCGAGATAAGAATGTTTTGTTTCGAGCGACATTAGTGTCCTAGAAATAATAAACACCAAATAATATAAATAAAATAAATAAAGAAGAAATAATGATTCATTTTATAAATAATTTGCACAATTTATAAATTTTCACTTGCCTGTAAATTTAATTGTTCTATTCTACGATCAATCTCTGTTTTGCTCCCTTGAACTTTTAAATCGTGAAACTTTTCTTCAATTGGCCCTAAAAGACTGCGTACTTTGTTATCGACAATAAAATCTCTGTATTTGCAAAGTCGTTGATATATCACTTTTTCGTTAAAATTTTCACTATCATATTTGCTACGCACAAGTTTAACGTTTAGCAGATCATTTACAACATTTTCTCTCGCAATTTCGTCGTGTGAATCGCCAAACAATTTCTCCAAAACTTGACCTTCAGAATATTCATTTTCAAAAACTTTGTTTAGTGCTTTGTTGAGAGCATTTGATTTTTGGTACCGTGATAAAAAGAGATCAGAACACACCACACTAAGAGCTTTATGGAATTCGGAGAGAAATTTCGGATCAGAGTCGTTGCGAATATCTCTCACATGAATATGACAGAGAGAGTGTATTAATGTCAAAATAAAGTCCCCAACGTTGCCTAGTTTACTGCGCTTTAAATACAAAATTTGGTTTTGAACGTCATAGTGAAAAACATTTTTGTACACATTATTAGTTATTAGATTGTTGCTAGGCAATGATTCTGCGAGTAGAACGTCAACCGGATGGTGTGAGCAATGAACAACTAAGAGATCGCGAACAAAACACGAAAATTTATAAATAACAAATTCACGGGCATTGATAGAAGCTAAATCAACCGGCACAAGTTCCTCGTTTGACAAGGGATCTGGTACTACAACAAAAAAAAAGATTTAAAGAATTGTTTTAAAATTTTTTTTTTTTTAATTTTAGTTATTTATGAAAAACGCATTTTTGCTTTTCTGGGGGAGGGGAGGTAAAATCTAAATACGTCTTGAATCCTATATTGCATAAAATGGCATTTAAATTAGAGATAAAATACAATAGAGAGTTTAAACTTTAAAAAACCAATTTGGTTTTGTTGAAAATACAATAGAGAGTTTTAATCTTGTAACTAATTTGGACTAAAGTACAGGGTACTACTTTTAACTAAAAAAAGAGAATAAATATGTATTAGTTTTTTAAAAAAAACTAATACATATTTATTCTCTTGAAATAAACATTTTACCTTTTGGATTATGTGAGTCCTGCACACTATTTTTAGATACAATTTCTTTTATGTGACGTATTTTATCATATAGAGGTGATTGTAGAAGGAGATTAATAATGGCATCATCACTTAATGGCATAGTCATCATGTATGATGTTGGAAGCTATTGAATTTAACAAAATCTATGAGTATAATGTTATTGACATCTTGCTAATAGATTTATATAAAAAAATCTATGACAAAGAATTTTTTATAAAAATATAACAAATATAAAAACATCTCCCCATACTCATCCTCATAAACAACCTTTTGTGCTCGCACAAACCACAACCACAGTATTATCAGTGGCGTAGGCACAAGGGGTCGATAGCGCTCCTCTAACTTTCAGAAAACTTCTATTTTTTCCACTCAAACTCTGATTCTGGCTGCCTTAGCCCCTCCTAATTTCATTTCAGTTACCCCTTCTCCCACCTTTCTTGACCTTCCTACGCCACTGAGTGTTATACTACTTTCTATATATATGCAAAAAATAATAAAAACTGAAAACGGCGTGTACAAAACACTTTTAAATTATTATTAAAAAAAAAAAAAAACGCAACCAATAAAGAAATATTTCAGGAGGTACCTGAGGTGTTAATGGAAAATTTTCATTGGGAGAATTTTCATTGGAAGATTCTTCTAAAGCTTTGATATTTAAAGTTTCTTTTATTTTTTCTGCAACTTCTGTATTTAATTTGTCTACTTCGTCCTCAATTTTTTCTTTTAATTCCTCTTTAATTTGCTCAGACCTGTTCAAAACTTCCTTTACCTTTGAATCTCGTCTTCCTTTACGTATTTTTTGCAAACGATTTTCAAGTTGTCCCTGCATGCGAAGTCTATCTGCATCCATCTTATTTATAACTTTTGCAATTCCTAATTATTAATACACATACATAATTCATACGTGCATAAACACACTTCAATTTTGTTTATATGTGCAAGATATATTTTATAAACCCAATAAAAAACTAACTAATAACATATTTATACACTTAATAACATATTTATACACTTAATAACATATTTATACACTTAATAACATATTTATAAAAGTGTTAAAGAATATGGTCAAGGTTACCAAGGTTACCTTTCAAATAAAAAAAAATGAATAGAAGTCATTAAGTATAAATAGAGTCTAAATTAAAATTTTGATATTTTATTCTCATATTCTTTTAAACATCAAAAATATTCACAGCTATGAAAATATGTTTGGAAATTATAAAATTTAAAAACTTATTAGGGTAAATTATTTTGAACAGCCGTTGGTACCAAAAAAATCACACATATGCTAATTTTATCAAATTATTGTATCACATTTCAGTTAATACAACCATTTTCCATCTACTTCAACCATCTACCATTTTTACATCTACCATTTTTATGCCATTCCTAAACTAGTAGTTTAAAATTTATAATAAAAAATCTGTTAAAAGTTACCATGCAACAGTTTTCACATAAAATTAAAAAACTTGAATGTTTTTACACCTGACAGTGCAATAAGTGGCGCTTTTTTAATCGAATTACTAGTTGTCACCCAAATTTGCTGATTAGGTTTGGAAAGGTAAAAAGAATTTAATAAATACTTTTTTGATATGAAATATTTCTTATTGAAAATAAGAATTATTGAAGATCATCATATTTTATGCAAATGGCCAAAATTTAATTCCTGAGTATTAAATTTTATGTATTTTTGCTTCAAGACATTTGATTGCTGGTTATCTGCAGATAACAGCTTTGATAATAATAGCTTTTGTTAACTGCAGATAACAGCTTTGATAACAACTGGTTATCTGCAGATAACAGCTGGTTATCTGCAGATAACAGCTGGTTATCTGCAGGACTTGATTACTTTTAGCATAGCAATACTTGAATTTAAATTTTAACGCATGCGATGCTTGAATTTAAATTTTATTTTGCAAAAACAGAATGGTTGTATAAAACAGAATGGTTGTATAAAACAGAATGATTGTATAATAAATAATTTAAAATTTTGTAATCTTATTTATTATTGTAAGTTAACTATGGACTATGGATTTAAATAAAAAAATATCTCCACACTTAAACCTCCACACTTAATAAAAAAAATATCTCCACACTTAATGTGGTTTCATAACAACAGCAAAATGTGGTTTCATAACAACAGCTAATTTAAAATAAATTAATATTTTTATTTTTATTTTATTAGTTTACACAAGTTTCTGATTATTATTTTTTTAATATTAACATAAGATAAAAGGTAATTAAAATAATTTCAGTACCATTTCAAAATATTATTTGGCAATTGATATTGAGGGCTCACCCAAAAGGCCTATCTAGTTCTATAAAGTCTTTTATAATTGTAACAGGCCGAATCATTGAGACCTATAATTAGTACCAGAGCCCATGCTATGTTACGTTCCAACACCAGGTCCGACTTAAAGTTAGACATTAACCATTAAAAAAAATTTTTTTACAAAGAAAAATATGAACTAACATCATTAACTAAATCTTGAATAAGTCTGCAGAATTTAACATAAACAAAAGTGCACATAATTAAATGTTACTTGAATAAATTTAAAATGAAAACAAACAAATAAACAAATTGTCTAACTGTTGCCCAAATCATTACTAATAATTGACTATTCAAATTATTACTATTTTTTAGAACCAAAATTCACAAGATTGATTTAAAAAGAAAAATCATTGGATATAAAATGTATTTTATCCTTTCAAAATTTATTTGAAAGATGCTGATTTCAAATTATTGTTAACTTTTTTTAACCAAAAAAGTTGTCAAACTAAAAGCTGTGTTGTAAAATAATAAATAAACATAAATATATATAATATATATAAATATAAATATATATAAATATATATTGTAAAATACAATGCAAATATAGATATCTATTTTTTGGTCATATAAATAAGATATTGAACTAATTTTAATTTTATCTAAATGTTTCAAACAATTTAATTTAATGTAAATATTTAATTTCATAAAAAATGTTTTGGCTGCATTTGTTTAAGTTCATTTAACCATTGAAAATAAAATTTAAAAAGAAATATATGAATTACCATCATTAACTGAATCAAGAATTCATTAACTGAAATCTGCAGTATTTAACATAAACAAAAGTGCAAAAAAATAAATGTTATTTAAATAAAGTTCAAAATGAAAATCTTTAAATAAAAAATTTCAACATTAATTGGAAAGATGATAATTTGAAATTATTGTTGACTTATTTTTTAACCAAAAAAATTGTTGAACTAAAAACCTTGTAAGTTAATTTTGCAGTCAATATTTTCTAACATGTAACCACTTTCCTTTCCTTTCCTAAGTAAATATTTTTATCTGTATTTTTGTTAAAATGCAAAATACATAACTGTTTTTTGTTCAGCAGTTTTTTTAATTACTTGGATGAATAATGGAAGGTTATTTGGTCAGAAAGCAGCATTTGATTTTAGACATTTTTGAAGCAATTGTATGAAAATTATAATTTTTTAGCTTTCTTTTTGATAATTAATTTTGATCATTAATACATATATCTACTATTTTGATTTTTAACTGCTTTTTGACTCATTAATACTAAATAAGTTTTATCATTAGCAATTTTATGCATTCTTTTATTAAAAAATTGTAACAAAAATAAAAAACTAAACTAACAAGACAGTTTTTTTATCTTTGAAAATAATTTAATGATTTTAATGTGCCATCTTTTTTTGCTTTTTATTTGAATGTAGAAGAAATATTCAACCATGGGTAACATTTGAACTTATCAAATATTTCCCAACATACTTAAAGATACTACATGGAACTTTTATAAATGTTTTTGTCTGTTAACAAACTATTCCTGGAAACAAATATCAACCCTTGATTAAGGGAAGAACTTACACACATATTTATTTTAAAAAAACTATTGATATAAAAGGTTATTTTGTTATGTTGAAAATCCATAGACAATCTATTTTTTAATCTTAAACGATAAAATTATTTATTTATGTTTAGATACAAAATCACAAAACGGATTGTAAAATAGTTATTAAGAATTAATTTTACACAATTTGTGAGAAAAGAAATTTTATATGTTCAACAAAACATAAAAAAAATAAAACGTTTATTAAATTAATTATTTTGCTTATAATCATATGGTCAAAAGTACTCTTCTAGGTGGTTAAAACTACCCCCACAATATGGTACAATTTACCTCTTTGAAGCTAATTATTAAAACAGATTTTAAATACATTAGTTCAAGTCCATCACCTACAACGCTACCAAATTTTATTTGTTTATAGTAATAAATTATTTAGAAGTAAACAAAAGCACATTAAGTTGTCTAAACGTTCGCTCTGTTCATACTTAAAACTATGCTTTATTACCATCACTGTTGCCATTGTTACCATTATTGTTGTTGTTGTTGTTAAATTATATATTTGTTGTTGTTAAATTATATTATTACTTTGTTGTTTTAATTATTTAATTATCACTGAATTTCTACTAAGTACACAAAAAACTGGAAAATATTTAAGCATCACCTTCATTATGCTGTTTTAGAAGGGCTTCTTGTTCTTCTTTTGATGCTCCTTCTTTTATGAGCTTTGAAACTTCCTCTTTAGCTTTCTTTTTTTTTTGCTTTACAAGAAGTTCTTTGCGTTCATTCAAGGCCTCAATTGCTTTTTCATTTTTTTTGCGCTCCTCTTCTGCTTCTTTCTCGATTTCAATATCACACTGCAGTAATTCTTGCTGTACACGATCATTTTCTCTTGCTTCAAATTCTTTAAAATAGAAAACAAGTACCAAGTTGAAAAATTTAATTTGATAAATTGTGTATAATAAATATTACAAAATCATCACTTTTACTATGTACTTATAATACTATGTCATTATATCATAAGTGAATCACATCACCTCAATACTATGTCATTATATCATAAGTGTATCACATCACCTCAATACTATATCATCTTCAATAAATCGCCTCACCATATCATCAAAATCATGATCATTACATTGTAATTATAATAAACATGATGATCATGAAAATGACAATCATGAACATGATGATCATCATGTTCATGATTTTGATTATGATCATGAGTATGATCATCATGATCATCATAATAATCATGTTAATTTTTATGATGAACTTCATGACCAGTCATGATCATTATGATGATCATCATCATAATTGATCATCATCATAATTATCATGGTTATTATCATTACAATCGTGATCATCATCACCATCATAATATCCAATCACTTGGTTCCAATATTTACTTATTTCTGATTATGATACAAAATAAGTAAATAACAAAATAAATAACCTTCCATTTCTTTCTTTAGTTTTTCTTCATCTAGTCTTCTTTGCTCCTCTAGTTTTTGTTGAATGTCTTTTAACTCCCGAGCAGCTTCTTGAGCTTTTTTTAATGATGATTCTCGACCCTCTGTCAAAAATTCTGATAAATAGTCAGCATACTCCTAATAAAAGTAACGAATAATATCATATTATCAAATTAAATCAAAGTCAAATTATGGACTTGTAAAACTTAAAATAAAATCTTATTAATACTTTAAACAAAAAAGTGTAAACGAAAATGTTAATAACATAAAGAAATGAAAAATGAAAAAAATTTAGGAAAAACAGTCACCAGTTTGAAATTTAGTGCTTTATTAAGATAAAAACTTTTAAGAATTACCGTATAATGTCTTTCTTTAAGGTCGAGTTTTCCTTTTGCATATCTTAATTCCCAATCTGCAAGAGCATTTTTCTTAGCAGCTATTTTCTGATCTGAATGATTTTTTTTCAACATTTTTAATTCAATTTGTTGATTATTTAAAAGTTGAGCACGAAGTTGATCATTCTCTTCTTGATCATCTGTTACTACAAAACAAAAAAAAAACAAAAAAAAAAAAACAAAAAAAAAATCACTTAATAAAAATAATAAACCATAAATAAATGTTAATGATAAAAATATTTAATTCTTAAAACCTTGAAATACTGAGCTTAACAACTTAACAGGGTGTTTTATTTGGTTTATTTGGTTAATGGTCTTTATTAGTACTTTATTTGGTTAATGGTCTTTATTAGTACTTTATTTGGTTAATGGTCTTTATTAGTACTTTATTAGACAAAAATTACCTAAAAATGGCCCTCATCTCTTGTTCTATTTAGTTCTATTTATACAAATTTGGCTTAAAACTGTTCAAAGTTTAAATTTTAATTAAAAACTATTTTATAATTTAAATTTTTACTTTTTAAACTTTTTCAAGATCAAAAGAATATTAAAAGGTTTGATTAAGTAAAATAATTTATATTTTAAAAAAAAAATTTTTTTCAAGATTAAAAGAATATTAAAAGGTTTGTTTAAAGATATTTAGTTCTATTTATACAAATTTGGCTTAAAACTGTTCAAAGTTTAAATTTTAATTAAAAACTATTTTATAATTTAAATTTTTACTTTTTAAACTTTTTCAAGATTAAAAGAATATTAAAAGGTTTGATTGGAGTCAAGTTATTCAAATTATGCCTAATTAACTACTAGCATATTTTGAACAATTAAGTAATGCTAAAAACAAAAATGACTATTATATAAATAATTTACAATTTCTTTACAAAAAATTTTTTTATATATATATACCTATTAATTCTTTGAGCTCATTTTCATGTTTTGCATTAAGCTCGTCAATATCACATAAATGCTTACTATCCAACCTTTCCAGTAACTCGTCTACTTTTACTTTGTGTTCTTCAGCAAATAATGCATCTAGCTGCATCATTTCTTTAGCATGTCGAAAATCTAAGATCTAAATATTATATAATAAACATTTTTTTTAAGGGTTAACTAAAAATCTAACACTTAGCACACCAAAAAGCAAAAAATCTACTCGTAATAATAACCTCTATGCTTCTTTTTTAAACCTCTATGCTTCTAAAATTACCTCTATGCATTTTTTTTTTTTAACCCCTTTGCTTTTTAAATAACCTCTATGCTTTTTTTTTTAAACTAGAAGATAGCAAAGATACAATAAATTTTTTTTTTATCTCATAATAAACACCATGAACAATACCTAATAATTAATAAAAATTATTATTCATAGGTAAAACCAGCGTTAACATTTGAGAACTGCAACTCTGTTTAATTATATCTGTTGCTATACTATCTAAAGCACTTAAGAAAATAACCTATTGGTTACCTACCTAGTCTAATTTTTTATTGACACACTAAAAATCCATTCAAAATAAAATTTTCCAAACCCAAAAATTATTACACAGAAAAAAAAAAAAAAATTTATTTGAATCTTCTGCATTAAAAAATAAAAATCAAAAAAAAAAAAAATTGCTACCATCATCTTCAAAATCTTAGAAAAAAAAACTTTCCACAAATGTATTTTCAAGCAGTTTCAATATATATATATATATATATATATATATATATATATATATATATATATATACCCATAATATTCACTTTACTAAGACTCCAGAGAAAGCTACATTACAGGCAATTTTTTTTTTTAAAAGCATTTTTTATTATTTTTTTTAAAGCAATAGCTATTTTTTTAAACTAATTTTACTTTGAGACTTTCTCATCATCTCTCATCATTTTTTTCTCCCTAAACTCCAAAATACAAACTTTGTTAAAAAAAGTGGTTGGGCAAAGACAGAGGTTGACCACAGTGCTACCAGAGGCATAAGGTGGAATTGAGCCTCAACTTTCATAATTGAGTCAAGTGTTCCAATGTTAGTCTACTACCTAATATTATGTCATGCAGACAATATGTCAATTATGACAATATTACAATATGTAAAACAAAGAAACAACAACATGTTAAGCATTCTAAAAAGATTGAAAAATTTTATTTAAATGATCTAATAATGCAAAAATAAACATAAAATAGTTAAACAAGAAGTAGCATTTTTTAAAAAAGTTAATACCATTCAAATAATTATGCACGGTAGTGTAATTAAAAAAAAAAGTTTCAGTTTCAGGGCTTGTGATGAATCGAGCGCGATCGCGCTCCAGTCATGAAACGCGCCCGTAAATGGTATTTTGAAACGTTCCAGGCGCGATAAACAACGCTCGTTCAGCTTATAACGAGCCTATAAAATAACGCTCGTCCAAGAGTTCGGGGCAAAACAAATAATAACTTTTTTTTTTATTTTCATAAAATATGAAAAAAAGATTTTTTAATAAAGATTTAATATTATCGAAGCAATAATATAATATAAAATAAAAAAAGCACTATGTTGTTCTTTTTGCACTAACCTAATGAATGAGCAGTTTGAAGTTGTTAATAGGCACTAATTTCATTGATGGAATGTGCATGTAGAAATTCAATGCAAATACAAAAATGCACAAATAAAATAATAAAAAATTAGTAAATCATTATAAGAAAATTGAAACTGCAGAATATTTTTAATCTTGTGAAAACATCAAGTAAGATTTATTTGATTTATTGTTTGTAATATTCCATACATTGTTTATAATAAAAATAAATAATAATGATTCAGTAATTTTTTAAATTAGTTTTTGTTTATAGTATAAGTTTTTTATTAACTATTATTTATTTTAACTCAAATTTAAAACGATTCTGTTGTTTAGAATGTCCGCAATCAACGACATTCCAAAAGGATACAAAGTAATGTTGTCAACATTTATTAAATGGAAAGTTCAAGAGGCTTTAGAACTGAAGTTACCAGATATGAGTGACAAATTAGCTGCATTCAGTTTCGAAAATGTAGAAGAGGAAACACCGTTGACAACAGTTGAGGGGAAAATCTGTTATTTAACCTATAATGAATAGTTAAAAAAAAAAAGATTGTTTTATTTTTGTTTAAGCAAAATTTTTGAGAAAGTTTTTTTTTTTTGAGAACTATTTTATAATAACCTTTTTGTTTAGCAGAATTTGAATTTAAAAAAAAACGTCAAAATAAAGATGATTTTTTAAAACCTCAACTTTAGAGTATTTATCAAACCATTAGAGAATAACAAGTATATAACAACAAAGAAATATTTTACATATTTAATAATTTATTTTAACAACAAAGAAATAATTGACAACTAAACTTTATGAGAGAATCAATATTTTAACCTTTTTAATAATACTTTCAATTGAACCATTTCCAATATCTCTAATTGCATCCAATATTGCCTGACGCTCAGCATCAATGACCTAGTAATAAAGAAAAGAAAAACTAAAGTTTTATTTTTATTATCAGAATATTTATTAATAATTTTTCAACTTTTTAAAAATGCATGTTTGACTTTTTAAACTAAAAATTCTTTTTTTTTAAATAAAATTGCTCTTACTGCTTTTCGTTCTGTGTCAGCTAACTCTTTTTTTTGTTCCAGCAACTCTCTTGCCAGCTGATTTTCCTGTTTCTTTCTTAAAGCATTGAGTCTAGCTTTTCTTTTCTCTTCTAATTTTTCATGTAAAGATTGACTTTGCTTAGTTTTATCTTCTTGAAGTGCTTGCAAAAGATTCTCCATTTGCTGATTGTGAGCTGCAAAAAGCTATAAAAAGTAAAAAATCTAAATATATAAAAGTTACTTATGCTGTAGCGTATACTGTATGACAGTATACGCTACAGTAGACTCTGTTGCTACAGTCTGCTACTCTGTTGCTACAGTCTGCTACTCTGTTGCTACAGTCTGCTACTGCGGATTTAGAACAGTACAGCATTAGTGATTTTTGCTCAGTTTAATTTTCAAAACTTTAATTTAAACACTTTTCAGACAAATAGAGAAAGAACAAGAGGAAAAAAATTCTTTGGAATTATATTTTTTAAAATATAAAATATCCTTTATAAATATTACTTTATAAATATCCTTCATATGTAAATACTATCATTACCCAAGCCAGATTAGGCTTTGCTGCAAGAGCATGGCTAGTTATTAAGGTAATTCAAAAAATATTTTTCAAAGTTGCAACTCAAGTGATTACATGTGAAGCAGTTTGACAGAAAAGTATAAAATCCCCCGAAAAAATCAAAATCAAACAATATCTACACCATGCTCCTTGATTGTAAAGAAATTGACCCTAATACTTTCACACAAAAAAAAAAATCTTTAAAAGAATATCATGTTGAATGAATGTCATTCATTCATTGTCTCAAAGAAGTAAAGTTATATAAAAATTTCAAAAATAATAATTATACTTTATAAAAACATCTCTGGAAAAAAATTATTATAAAAAACTTTGAAAAAATTAATTTTTTTATTTTATTTAAAAAAAAACTTTTTATGAAATAAAATCTTATATAATATATCAATAAAAAATATATTAATAACATCTAATATACTCTTTATATAAAATGATTATTATTTATGAAATTTTTCTTCTTTTGAGACCCAACATAATATATTATTGAAGAATTTTTCAATAATATATCATGTTGGGACAAAATTTTCCAAATCCTTTGGAAGATTTTGGGACCAATCTTTTGCAATCAAGTAGTAGGGACTAGTTTTTTTGAACGCAGAAGGCAGCCATGATTTGAACTATCAAAAAGAACTTGACTCAAACATAGATAGTACATGGTAGCTAAAGCAATAAGCTATGCACTTGCCTCATTCCACTAACCCATCACAACCAATCAACCTATCGCAACCAACCAATCAATTGCAACCAACCAACCTATTGCAATAATAAAGAACTGCTTCTAAGGCTTTGACAATTATATATGAATCAAAAGCAATAAATAGAGTATCAATTATGTGCAACATGGCACTGTTAGTAATCTAATATTTTACATTATTTATTATTGGAGTTAGCCTCTCTGATAGTCAGAAAATGGAAATTCTAATAATAAAAGAGAAGTTTTCTATTAACTCTAAATGCTTTTGGAGTTAATAGAAAATACAAAGAACTATATTAAACACCATGAACTAAATGAGATGTCAGAAACAATATGATATACCAGAAATTATATGAAGTATCAGGAACCTCATAAAATATCTAAAACCATGCTAAACTACCAAAATCATATCAAACACCAGGAACTGTACTAAACATGAGGAACTACATAAAATATCAGACTAAACAATCAAAAACTATATAAGACATTGGAGTTATATAAAATATTAGGAACTACAAACAACATCAGTAACCAACACAATGAGAACACAATGCCAGGAACTGTACAAAGTATTGGAAACTACATGAAAACAGGACACAAAAAAACAACAACAAAAAAAACAGAAAATACATTAAAAAAAAAAAAAATCAGAAAAAACAAACATTAAAAAGAAAAACATTAGGCAGGAACTATATAAATACCAGAAAACTATGAAAAATTATTAGGAACTACATAAAAATTATTAGGAACTACATAAAAATTATAAGGAACTACATAAAACTTGAGGAACTACATAAAGCATCAAGTTTGATTTAATAAAAAAGAATATTAAAAAAAAAAAAGAGAAGCTTTTACATAGTTAAGATTGAAAGCAATTGGAAAAATTTTATATAGCTATACACTTAATTTTTTTATTGCAGTTGAATTAAAATGTTAATTATTAAGCATAAGAGGACATAAATTTGAATAAATTTCAAATAATTACAAATAATCATTCAAGAAAACTTGATGTAAACAAAATATTATGGAATAGCATTGATGTGGCTTATATGTACCCACACACACTGAAAAATACACACATAATAATAATAACCTGTTGCATTTCTTCTGAGGAAAGATTACTTCTTGCATTCACTTCTGCTGCTTGTTTATTCTTTGCTTCACGTATCACACGTTCTTGATAATCTTCGAACTCTATTATTGCATTCACTTCGGCTTCTTTTTGTTCTTGAATTAAACGATTTTCCATTGATTCTACTTCTTCTTGGTGTCTCTCTTGAATTTCATCTAACATACGCTGTTGCTCTTTTAACAGTGCCTAAAATTATAAATTCTTATAAAATTAAGAATATCAGAAAATATAAATATTCAAAAAAATGTATTCCTTTGTTTATTTGAATTGTCATCTAATTGCAATTTTTGCACATTGATATACCAATTAATACCAATATAATACCAGTATAATACCAATATATTACCGATATAAAGCATTTAGTATTATTTACTTTTTGCTCTTCAGATTCTTCTTGATTAACATTTGCAAAATTTATTCCGCCTTCCATCAAAGGATAACTTTGAGATGCAAGAATATTTTGCTCTGAAAGCAATCTATGAGAGGTTTCAACTTCTTGATTACGTTTAACTTCTTGAAAGCGTCGCTGTTTACGAGCATTTATCTTTGCCTTAAAAAAAAGAATTTTTTTTGTCATCGGTATTTTTATTTTTCATTATTTTATGGTTTTATTTTATTTTACTGTTAATGAATTATTTAAAACCAGCATTAATAGCATCAAAATCTAATAATAAACTTTATATTATGTTTTAGCGTATTAAAATGCTTAACATTTCGATATGTTTTTTTTTTAATTCCATTTTTCTGAAATATTTCAAACTGATCTCTAGTTTATAGTGCAAAATATAATTTTTGATTATATTGAGTTAAAAGTATTTCAAGCTCAAATCTTAAAAATCACTTTTATCATCCCACTTATCACTTATCATCCCACTTATCACTTATCATCCCACTAATCACTTATCATCCCACTTATCACTTATCATCCCACTAATCACTTATCATCCCACTTATCACTTTCTTTTCCTTATTAAAGGGTAAAAGTTAATTTTAAAACTAAAATTTTCAACAGTATAGTATGTATTTTAACAGAATTTTTAACAGTATAGTATGTATTTTGCCTTTGAAGAAAATTTCTGATTACAAAAAAAAACCTTTTGAATTGTTATTTAGATATGTTAAAAAGGTAGAGCTATGGTGTAGGTATATAAGTGTATGTGGAAATATGTAGGTATGTAGTGGGAATATAGTATGCAAAAATACAGAATAAATCCATATTGTGGGAATATGTGGGGTATAGTATGCAAAAATACAGAATAAATCCATATTTTTTCTGTATCTTTGTATAGTTGAAGTAATCAAGTAGATTAATCAATATTCTAGTAACTATCTAAGTATTCTAGTAACTATCTAAATATTCTAGTAACTATCTAAATATTCAAGTAACTATCTAAATATTCTAGTAACTATCTAAATATTCAAGTAACTATCTAAATATTCTAGTAACTATCTAAATATTCTAGTAACTATCTAAATATTCTAGTAACTATCTAAATATTCTAGTAACTATCTAAATATTCTAGTAACTATCTAAATATTCTAGTAACTATCTAAATATTACATTGTTTAAAAGGTGAAAGTATTATTATTATTATAAAATATGTGCATAAAAGTTCTTTACGGAACCTTTATACACATTTGTACTCAAGTTTCTTAAACATGTTTTTATTCATGAATTGTTCTGATTGTTTTCTCAAAGTTACTAAAAAATACTTTAACAGATTAATTCTGTTGTATTTGGTTAACATGTCATATAGACCATTCATTATACCCTAAAGAAAGTGACATAATTAATAACCTTTACTTATGTTTACTTTCAGTAATTGCTATTTTATGAATCACTCTAGTTAGTCATAAAATGATTAATATTTTTCATATCTCAATACTTTTATTAATTTTAATTTTATCCTGCTCTTTATAGATTAATTTTGTAACCAAAAGTAAAAACATACAACACAGTCTGAATCCCTTTAGCAAATGAAAACAGTGAAAATCAAAAACAAAATATTAAGAGGATAAATAGTAGCTATAGAAAGGAATACTTCTTAGTAGGTAAGCCTACAACGATGTCCTCAGTTAAGTTCCCAACCTGAGCTGATATTACTTCCTCTGCTTGAAGGAGAAGCATAGGTCTAATTAAGAAAAAAGGCAACTTGTGTTCTGTCCTTTAAGTAACAACATCAGATAACTCTATATATCTTACTTGAAGACTTTAACTTGTCAAAACCAACAATTTGCAATGAACAAAGTGTGTTATATACTTTGAAAATAAATTAAAAAAAATTGTGCTATCAAATTTTATTTTAAAGAAAATAAAAAAAACCCCGGGAAAATTGTTGAGTAATAACAAAAACAAACTATTTGTTACAGTGTGCAGTGTACCTCTGCAGTTTTTCCATGCAGCAAGGAGTGCATTCTTGGTGGATTATGGTTTCCATGGTTATGATCAGATATCCAATTATTGAACCTGTTGCTCTGCATTAAATTATTTAGATATATATTGTCAAAAGCGTTTTTGAGAGTTGTGAAATTTTTTTATAAATTGTTTTTGAGGTAAGATAAAAAGAAAAGTTGAAAATTATTAATAGAAAACAATCTCAACTTATAGTTTATTAAAAAGAGCTGATTATTATAAACTAGCTGAGTTGTCCCTCATGTTCTTGAAATTAAACCTATCCACATTCACAATCTAGCGCAGTTCAGCTGGCTAAAAGCATATATCACCTAAAGATCATGTTCTCAATCAGACAAAGTAGCTTTTGAACACTTTTTAACCTTTTGAGGACCTGGTGAGAATTGAACGAACAGCAGCAGTAGTTTTTCACATACGGTAAAAACACATTTGGTTCGCTTAGATCTTATAACAGTTATGTTTTTTCTTGCCAACACAGATGATACCTAATAGCATGAAAGAAGAGATCATCAATCATAACCCTAGAATATTGCCATGAAACTGTTGCAATATTCTGAATCCAAAGGCTATGATTTTCAAAGGAAAAAAAATAAAAATGGGTTTAAAAGAATTAAGAAGTTTGTCTGAGTTGAAGAACCACCTACCCTTGCAAGTTACATTGATTCAAGTCTTAGCAGGATTTTTATATTCTTAGGCAGTTGAAAAACTAATACCAGGTATAGTCTCATCTATGAGCAATTTTTGAGCTGAAGGTGTTGCCTTGTCCAGCAATAGCAACTTGGACAGCAGCATTGATATTGTGGAATATGTTGAGGTTTATAAGGCACTATAGTCCAAGAATAAGCTTTCTCAATAACAAAAAAAAAAAAAAAAAAAAAAAAAAAGTATATTTTAAATCTAGTATATACATTCATTAAGAACTTGCATAAATTATTTTAGTACTCTAAAGCATTTGCAAAAATTTGTTGTACAAAAATTTTAGGGTTGAATTAAACCAATTTGGCTTTAAGTCATCAATTTTAGATTTTTGGTGCAGAGTAATCCAATAGAAAAAATTTTTTTTATATTTTATCATCGCATAGAAATAGTTAACTATCAAATATATATTATGTGTCTGTAAAACAATCCTCACATGATAAATAGTAAGAATTACCAAATGTTTGAAAAATGGTCTTGCTATAAGATGAAAAAAATTTTTTTTTTCAAAAAAAAAAAAAAAAAACTCTTTGGAATAACTTATAATTACCCATTTTTTCAGTCTGCATATATGTCAACAAAATAAAATCATTGAAATATAAATATAAAATAAAATCATTGTCGTGGATAGGTAAAAACAAAGAAATAAAAATACTAAACTTTGAAAAAAATTAAACAATAAAAACATTTTTAAAGAACAACCTTTTTTTCTCCTTTTTTATAACATATAAAAAATATATAATTATAATATACATAACTTTTTATAATATATATTTAATTTTAATATTAATTTAATATTTTAATTTTTATATTTAAGTCATTTAAATTATATAATTTTAATTTGTGTAATATTCATTGTAACTATTTAATTTAGTATTTTTATTTATGTAATTTATTATAATTGTTTAAATATTATTTTAGTTGATTCAAATTATTTAATTTATAATTGATAATTGATTCAAATTATTTAATTTATAATTTAGAAAACTTTTAAACTAATAAAATATAAAATATCTGAAATTAAAAAAAAAAAAAAAAAGAAATTAACTAAATGCAATTTTCACTTTATATAATTTTCAATGGATACAACTTTCAGAGCTAAATATATCATTACTGACCTGCACATCCTCAATATTTTTTTGTTTTAATTTTTCTAAATTATCCATTATGTCACCATTATCAGATCTCAGCTGGTCCATCAGTGCTTGAGCAGTTTTTTCATCCATGCCTTTGTTATTTGCTAGCTGTAAAGATAATGGTAAAAAACATTTTTTAAATGCCTAATTTATTGATTGAATAAATGAATTTAAGTTTAATAAGCATTTATTAAAAAATAACATTTTAAAAATACAAACATATTCTACATTCAGTCAGCATATAACACTTTTAAATTAAAAAAAGTTGTTTTACTGACCACAAAAAAAAGGAAATGTTTTTGTTTTTCAGAAAGACAATAACAAATTTGAATGCACAACAGTGGACTTTGTCATTCTGAAAAACAGTCTAATTGAAAATCATTTTGGAATATCTGGTAGTAGCATTTGACTAATTTGTGAAACACAAGTACACAAATTGGAAAATTTGTGTACCTGTGTTAATTCATTACTGCAACCAAAAACCGATCTGTCAAGATGTGCACTGGAATGGATGTACACACCCCTTATTCACCTACTAAGCTGGGATAGATATAAATCTGTCTAGACTATAATAGTCACATGCTTGGTCTTGGTATTCATATAAATATTTTTCATGAAATAAGTTTGAATCTGCTGACTATTCTCAAGTTTAAATCTGTTGACTATTCTGCTTTACAAATATATCAAATATATATATATATATATATATATATATATATATATATATATATATATATATATATATATATATATATATATATTTAGTATTATAATCAGGAAATTTCCAAGGAAATCTGGAAATTTAAAGACACGGGTAACATGCCTATATATAAGTGGAACATAATTAAAAGATGCCAATCTTTTAACCTATCTACAAAAAAGTGTAACCTTTGCATCAATGAAAAGTATTTTATTATGACTTTTGATAGTTGACTACTACTTAACAAAAAAAGTGAATTGGTTTCTGCTTGTAGGCATAGGAAAAAATTTTTACTATCTAACTTTGATTGCGGCGATTAGCAAATATTCGATCACATACAACTGTATTTTTTATAACGGTTTTATTTTTTACTTGAATAATATGGTTGATGATTGCCGAATGGCATGAAACTTTTAGTTCCATCATAAAGTTGTATTTTTTTCATTTAAATTATTTTATTATAATTTGATTTATTTTTTTAAAAAAAGATATTGATCACTCTTAAACAGACAAGAGTTGTATTTCCAGCAGTATACAACATTTATCAATAAATATATGTATATATATATATATATATATATATATATATATATATATATATATTATATATATATATATATATATATATATATATACAAATAAATATACAAATATACTTGTATATACAAATATCCTTTGTTTATTTATGGTTCTCTTTCTTTCCAACACTGCACTTTCAATCTTATTTCTTACTTTCATCTACTTTTTCTACATCAGATTTACGGTCACACTTCTTAATACTATCTAATAGCTAAATGGAATTCTTTTCATGATTTTCATCGCAATGATACTTGGCCTGACATTTTTTGTCTCTATTTAAATTGCAAATCCTTTACAATATCCCTAGACCAAGAATAGAACAAAGTTTTATCCTTGGTAGAAGGATAGACCAAGGTTCTATCCTTGGTAAAAAGATAGAACAAGATTCTATCCTTGGTCTTGTGTTGTTCCTAATCTATATCTTCCTGATAGTCTTACCTCTATTTGCTGATGACACAACTATATACTCCAATCTTAACAAAAACTTTAAGATTGTTAGAACAATCTGAAAAACCTATCATTAATCAGATCTCTCTTCTGTGACAGCTTTGGTTTTTCAGTGGGTGCTGAATTTTACATCAACGAAACTTGTTGTTTACTTCAAAAATTATTTCAACTATTTCAATTATTTAAATATATACATTTATCAATAATATTCCTATATTGATGAAAAACTGAGTCCTTATCATACAAACCATATAAAGAATCCATTGCAAAGTTAGCTTATTGAGGCTTTTTTTTTTTTAATCATGCTTTCTATTTTCTTCCTATTTTCTTACCCCTAATTCCATTCTCTATCTCTGCAGATTTATCTAATTAGCCCCCTTTCTTTAAGACAAGGTCCAAAAATAAATTATAAATGTTGTTTGCCTGCTCTA